AAGAAAGAAAGAAAGAAGAAAGAAAGAAAGATTCTTATCTAATACCACAAAAATATTAATTATATATAAATAATCAAGTTAATGTTACTTTTAAACTCCCTGTTGCTTCCAATACATCTCCCTTTATTATTCCCTGTATATTTATTAAGCATCTACTTCCCAAACACTCTTCAGGGTGCATGAAGGAATGTGGACATAAGCAATACATGTCCCTTATCTTGAAGCAGTTCACAGTTAGTAAGAGTTAAAACTTGTACTTAAAAAGAAAATATAGCCAGGAAAGGAATAAAGAAGGAAAGTGAGTTGAAGGAAGGATCTGTCTCTTGCTTTCCAGCTGCAAAACAGCATTAAGGTGAATTAAACCTTAAAGGTCTTGAGCCATTTAATTGTACTGAATCAGACACCAGCACCATTAACATTGGCATGGTTGAGCTGATTGCCTAAGATCAATGTGTGACGAAAAGCCCTTCCTCAGTATTTGTGGGTCTTTTATTTACAAGTTTAAAAGATAAAAGGGAGCCCACATTATTAATATTTATAATCTAGTTAAGGTCACTGTCTATAGAGTATCCATGTAAAACCTTTTAGAAAGCTGTATGTGACCACAAAAAGCAGGAGCCAATACTCAAATCCAGATTTGTCTAACTCCAGAATCTGTTTAATAACCAGCTATAATACAATTCAGCCTATATTTTTAGAAGAGAATATTTAAAATTAATGACAATTAAGTACAAGTAATATTCAGGATGAATAATTACATTTATTTAGCAAGTAATATCCTAGACTGTTGTTTGTTCCGTCAGTTTAAATAATTTTAGTTGTAAGATAATTAAATATGTGAAGGCAAAAGCATTAACTGTTATGTCTAATATTTATTGTTTAAAAGTTGACATCGTGATGGGTTATGAAAGATCTCTGCACATATCAAACCTTTTAAGCACCTGGAGCAGAATAACATTTAATGCTTTTTCATTTCTGTAGAAATGCCCTCAAATCGAAACCTTTTATTCTTAGTCAACAAACAGTAGAACATGACTAGAATGCAGTGGGAAGAACTGTGCAAAAATGTTAATGCATTTTTCTGTCATTTTTCAGGTTGACCCTTTTGCACATTGAAATGTCAGTGCTTGTAAGTTTAAGCAATCATCTTGTTTAGGGACTATTAACAATTCACATTTAGGTCTAATCTCTCAACGGTGCACTGCCACGTACCCATTTGGAAACTCTTTTCAGTCTTTCCAGGAAATATCCCAGTTTGTTAGATCTTTAATATTCACAGTCTATTTTTGACCGCAGTGTCCATTCTGCCATCTTCTGCCATCTTCTACAGTGAAAGTGAGGATATTCTCAGTACTGCAGTTTTACTGGTTCCATTTTCTTCTTTGTCCCAGTGATTTTCTTTGTCTACTGTAATAGCTGAGTTAGATTTGTAACTATAACTGAAAGCCATACAGTATCTATTTTCAGTTTTCATCAAACTTCATCTTATTAACCATCTTTATTTTTCTTCACTTCAATTTCTTAATTATTAAGCTTTTTATATGTGTTACAAGTTTGTTTGTTTGTTTGTTTGTTTGTTTTTTCATTTGTGTGTGTGTGTGGCCAGCTCAGCCCACCAGGGGGCGGGGCTGGCTGGCATGTGGTGCTGGGGGACTGAACCACAGCCCTGTGCTTTGCTAAGCTTGTTCTAAGTAGGTGCTTTAGACCACTGAGCCATCTCACCAGTCCTGTTACAAGTTTTTCAAAGCCTTTTCAAGATTTTTAGAAGGCTGGCATAATAACTGATATACATTGGCCTATAAAGTTATAGCAAAAGATGGGATTAACACTTATCATTGGTTGTCATGAAATTCTTTAGCTGTTCTCTGTCATGGAGGTATTTTACTTCTCCATTAAACTTGAAAGACAGTTTTACAGGGTATACCAGTCAGGCTTGGCATTTGTTTTCTTGTGGGACTTGGAGTGCTTTGCTCCATGTTCTTCTTGACTTTATGGTTTCTGCTAAGAAATCTGCTGGTATGCTGATGGGTTTTCCTTTAAATGTGATCTGTTTCTTTTTCCTAGCAGCTTTTAGTACATTGCTCTTACGCTGAATTTCTGGGATCTTGATTGTTATATGTCTGAGTGTTGATTTAGTTAGGGTTGATATTATTTGGAGTCCTATCTATATTTGTTAGTTATCTGAATGTCAGGTTGGTTCCCCATATTTGGGAACTTTTTCACTATTACTTCTGCCCATATTCTTTTCATGTCAGTTGTGTTGGCTCCTTATTTCTCACTGATGCCTATTAGTCTAATGCTGCTCATCTTTGCATCATCTTGCAGATGCTGAATTATTATTTCTTGGATCCTTATTGTTTTAAAGAGATCTTTCTTTAATTGTGCCCTAGCTGCAATGATGTCTTCAAGGTCTGAAAATCTA